GTGGAGTATGCCAGCTAAACATATGTATAGGAAGCCACGTTATACTTTGTGTCTAGCAGTGATTATACCAATCACTGTCACATTAATGTGAATCCGTAGTCATAGCATGAGCCTCTCCTCCTACTCTGTGGCCTGCATTTTGATAAGCAAACTGCAATAGAATAACTTCACTGGTTTCTTCCAGCCTTTGTGGTTTTCCATTTCTTTTCTCTAATTTCTCAGAAAGAATTAGCCATTGGCATGCATGTGGAAGAGCTGTAAGTGTGGGAATGCAGGGCTCCTGTTGCGTGCATAACAGTTCAGCTCCCAGGGGCAGCTCCCGAGCTTCTCTCCAACATGTCACCTCCTCAGGAGCCCTGCCAGCTGCAAACGATGCTGATGCACCCAAAGCCACTGGGATTACATATCCTGTGTTTTCTTTTAACTCTGAGCTGCAGACTCCGAATGAGCCAAGCTACTAAATGTTGCCCCTTAATATTGTTTCCAGTGCACTTTCCTCCAGTTCAGTCCCTGCTCCTACCAACAGCCCCATTTTCAGCCAGACAGTTTCATTTCTCTTATCTGCTGCTGGCTGACACGTAGATTATCTCTTGTGTTCACTCTGTTTGCCAACGTGCTTTAGTGCCTTTGAACTCCAACACATGAAGCAAATTGAAGTCTGTACTACTCCCAGAATAGCCAGTGCAGAGAGCACGGCGGTGTCAGGATCCAGTCTATTTAAAAGCATTGTTGATATTTGAGTTACCGAGCGATTTAGCAACACCCCCCCACTCTTTTATTTTCTCCCCTTTAACACACTCTCAGTTCCTCTCCATGAATCCATGTGTGGACACACTGATGCATTCATATAAATGCCTATTGTTCATGCTGATAGTTCTGTAACTAGCATGATAGCTTAAAAAAAGTTATCCAAACAAAATGTAGTTTTAAAATAATAATGTGCTAAATGATGGGAAGTCTTTTAATTCCATTTGTTACACATGAGTTTTAATAACTGAAAACTCCAAAAGGTTAACCTAAGGAACCCGTCGGAAAAGGCTACCTACGGTATGATACCAATTCTCTAACCTTCTGGGAAAGACAAAACTATGGAGATAGTAAGAAAGATCAGTGGTTGCCAAGGTTTGGGATGGGATGAGGATGAACAGACAGAGCATGGGGTTTTTTAGGACAGTGACACCATAATGGTGCATACGTGTCATTATACAGTTGTCCGAGCCCGTAGAGGGTACAGCATTGAGACTGGCCCTGACGTTAGGTACGGACTCAGCGATGACGACATGTCAGTGCAGGTCCATGGATTAAACCAAATGCACCAGTTGCTGGGGAATGTCCATAGCTGGGAAGGCTGTGCCCGTGTGCAGGCAAGGAGTATATGGGAAATCCCTGAACCTTCTCCTCAATTTTCCAGTGAAACTTAAACTGCTCTAAAAAATAAGTCTTTTAAAAAAAAAGGTTAACTGGCAGCATTGCCCAGAAAAAAAGCTATGAAATGATTTGGTATCATTTAGAGCACCTCTGTATTTAAGAACAGCACACATCAATGTGTTCTTATTGCAGTGGTATTAGCCACTTGTCCACTACCCTAAGTAGCCTTGTGTTGATTCTCCCTCCTTCACATTTATGACTTCTGCCCTTGTTTCTAGAGTTTTCAAGTCCCCAGGCCAGCCTAGGGAAGCCACACAAAACTCTCCAAAGATCTTAATTTTTCAGAAAAGGGGCAAATTATTTCTTTTTTCTTTCTTTCTTTCTTTCTTTCTTTCTTTCTTTCTTTCTTTCTTTCTTTCTTTCTTCAATCAAAATAACTCAAGAGTGGCAGGGACAAAATAACTGGGATAAATAAATGCAGAGGGCAGACAGCAGCTGCGTGAGTCAGGCAGAGCACCCACCTCTGACTCAGGGTGGAGTCAGCACTCTGAGCCCTGCACACAGCTCTGCTCACTGGGTGATGTCAGCTGACCCAGTAACAGGAGTCAGTGCTTAGACAAATGCTGTGCTCATTCAGCTCTTAATCAGAGATTCCGATGGCACAGCCAAGGAAGTCCAGGGGGCACAGAAAACACCACCGATGATAGAAACTACTGGAAGTCCAGTGTAGATATGCTCCAGGCTTCAACGGATTTCCCTGTCAGTATGCTCTTTGTCACTTCAGGACAGGGTGTCATTCTCTGGGCTAGGTTTCACCAGATGTTTTTAGTTTCCTTGTTGATTTTCAAAAGCCACTGTTCAGGAGTCTGTATGAGGAATAGACCTATTTTTATCCATAATGACTTCTCCACCTGTTTCAGTAATTTTTATAAACAAGAATTAACATCTTGCATGCTAATATATTGTAATCTGTGAACTGCCCAGAGTGAGATGTTTTTTCAAAAGAGCAACGTGGTAACATGCACATTCTGCCTCGCAGTGTAGAACTGATATAGCTCCTAAAGATCCTTCAAGTCCTTCAAAGAAAGGCGGCATTATAGGGAGTGAAGGGACATTTCACCCAGCACAATAAAATTGAATGTTGGCTTGATTTTATTTAAACTGCTAAGAAAATGTTCTCACCAAATGCTTAAAGTGGACATTTTTCTTTGTGTGAGTCTCCCTTCTCTGTGTTTTGGAAATAATTTAAAAATTGGTATCAGGAGCCTGATCTGCTCTCATTACTGATTTATTATGAAGTCTTGAATAGGATCCTTAAATACTCTGTTTTATGGGTTCTTTGTACATACAATGAGAACAAAAATGCCTGAATATAACTGAGAAGGTTGATGAAAGAATAAAATGAGATGTGAAAAGTATATAAAGAATTGCCCAAATATGTCCAATGCTGTTATGATTAAGACTAAAAGGACTTTGGTGAGATTTTATGTCTACTGCATGATAAACGGGCCTTAAAGACTCATTGGCTTCATTAAATCAGCATTTTTCAAGCCAATTATTGCATAATATATGCCATTGAGGGCTTTTTTACAAAGTTAGGAGTGCTTGAAATATAGGAAATCAGTGCTTATACTGCTTCTGTGAAAAATAATTCCTAGGTCTAGATATGTCCATTTCTAGTCGTAAGATGTGTGTATGATAAAGTTTCTCCATTTCATGGCTGTGCCTTGTTTCATACCTTTTTAAAAATTAAGATTAAAAATACCATCAAATTCACATTTTTTAAGTGTGCACTTCAGTGGTTTTCTTCATATTCACCAAGTTGTGCATTCATCACTACTATGTAATTCCCAAATATTTTCCCACCAAAAAAAGAAACCCCATTTCCATTAGCAGCAACTCTGCTTTCTCCCTTCCCCTCGGGCCTTGGCAGTCACTAACCTAGTTTCTATCTCTGTGGATTTGTATTTTCTAGACATTTTATATTAATGTTTCTGGCTTCTTTCTCTAAGTACAATGCTTCCAAGGTGCATCTGTGTTTCAGGATATACCAGAATGTCATTTGTTTTTATGTCTGAATAATATTTCATTATATGGCTATAAAATGTTTTGTTCATACATTTGTTCATTGATGGACATTGTGGGTTTTTCCTACTTCGGGGCTATTATATTTAAGTGCTGCTATGAATATTCATGCGCAAGTCTTTGTTTAAACACACATTTTCCTCTGGGGTAGACAGCTAGGAGTGGAATTTCTGGGTCAATTGGAAGCACTATTTTAGTTATTTGACTAACTGACAGACTGTTTCCCAAGTGGCTACAGCATTTTACATTATCATCAACAATGTATGAGAGTTCTAAATTTTTCACCAAGTGAACACTTGTTATTGTGAGTCTTTTTTACTGTAACTGTCCTAACGACTGTTCGTAGTGGTCTCTCACTGAGTTTTTGATAGAATGTCCCTAATGACTAATGACTTTGAGATATTTTCACATGCTTTATTTACCACTTGTGTGTGGAGAAATGTTTATTAAAATCATTTGTCCATTTTTATTATTTGCTGTTTTATTGTTGAGTTGCAAATTTTTATATCCAGAACACAAGTCCCGTATAAGATAGATGATATCCAAAAATTTTCTCACATTCTCTAGGTTGTCCTTTCAGTCTCTTAAGAGTAGTGCTCTTTGAGGCACCAACATTTTTAATTTTGACAAATTTCATTTAACTATTTTATCTTTTGTTGCCTGTGCGCTTGTTGTTAGAGTTAAAAAATTGCTTATACCAAGGTCATGGCAATTCACATCTACCTTTTTATAAAAGTTTTATTGTTTAACATTTAGATTTTGAGTTAATCTTTGTTCATGGCATAAGGTAGGAGTCCAGTTCCATTCTTTTGTATGCTGCCATCCATTTGTGCTGATGAAAACCCTTTTCTAAGCATGTGTTCAGCCCCGGGCACGTATGCAGCTCTGTGTATACATGTGACCTTCTGGATTCGAGGGACATGTCAGAGCTTCACAAATTCCCCTCAAGACAGCCTTCCCGCCAGCGTTTTCTTGTAACCTCTTTGGTTTGGCTATTGTTTACCCTGCTGTTACTCACCACACAGGGCCACTGGAATACCGAGAGAGTGCCACTGATTGATTTCAACAAATGTCCTGCAAAAAAAGTGGTTGCTTTGAGTCAGCCCTGAGTTAGGTCAAATAAAGACAAGGCTGATAAACGGGGTCTTCTGGGAACCACAGACAATTAAAATAATGACTGCTCCCTGGAAGCAGGGCCTGTACCATCAGTGGCTGCCAGGCCACTGGTTTTCCCCGAGATGGCATGCTGTTTCCAAGGCTACCGCAGAGCTGGAAGGGCCAATGGGAGACAGGAAAGGCAAGTGAAAACTGCACAAAACTTGCTCTCATTTCCACAATTAGGCAGTTTTTTTCTTAAATAGATACTCCCTGGATTATTATCTTTGGTTAATTTCCTGAGATCTGAAGAAGTTTTTTCTGATCATTTTTGCCAATATTCTTATTACTTTTATAGAGTAGAGGGTTTTCAGAAATCCTTACTCTGCTGTTGCCCTGACATCCCGTGGCCATATCTTTCAGACTAATAAATACATGGTTTTTTTTTTAAGTTTTTCAGAATGAGAGAAAACAGCCTAAATGTGATGTTCTTAATTAAGAAGCACATGCACCACTCTGGAAATGTACTAGCAAGTAAGTTCCATTCTTAACCTTGGGAAAGCTACATTTTTGGCAGTTATCTTTCTGGCTCTATTAATTACAGGCAGAGCAAGCTACTCCTGGTTTTATCATAAAGGGACAGTTTATCCATTGGGATAAATTTATACTAGGTGAGAAAACCTTATTCTTTTCTACTTCCATATATCACTTAAATCAGAATAGCTTATATTAGTTATTTCTCACAATAGATTTGTCTTTATGTCTTTGAATTTCTTGCTACTGCATTTCACTATGAGATTTCAAATTCATATTTTGTTTGTTTTTTATTATGCTTAATCTTAACCATATTGTTCAAACAGTCTTGTGGTTAAGATCCACTGAAAGGGCAATCAAATGTATTATAAAACTCCACAGTTTACTTCTGAAAAGTAATGTGTTTAAAATTTACAAGCTGAACATAAGAAAGGTTTTTTTTTAAAGCACTCGAACATTTCTGGGGCATTTACTGCAAAGTTCCAGATACCGTGCCTAGCATGTTCACACATATGTAATTTACTGCCCCCAGCAATCTTCTGGGGATGTTATTAGAAAGGATTCCTATATTACAAATTACAAAATGGGGATCTTAAATAAAATGCCCAAAGTTGTACAGCCAATGATTGATAGAGCCAGGTTTCAAGGGTCAATATGTTCATTTTCTTTTTTATTAGGCTTTGGTTTTGAAAATAACATTAACGATAAATATATCTCCCGATTATCTGAACTCCCATGAAGTTTAAAATAGTTTTAGGGATTTCTCAAATTAAAAGTACATAGATAATATTTTTCTAGTTGCCTTTTTAGATAATACCCAGAGGCAAAATTGTTGTTCTTAATGCCATGGACTATATAATTCAATTAACAACGCAATATTACTGAGAAAATACAAATCACAGAGAAATGCTGCTACTGCCTAGACTTTGTAAGAAAATAATAAACTGATAAGCTCTTTATAAAAATGCAGGCAGTTCACAATAAATTATCTAAACTTATTATTTATAATGTTTTTCTTTTAGCTACTTTAATTACATATTTGGATTTTCAAAAATATCACTAAACTAGTAATAAAAATAATGTTCCAAATCCTAAGATTTTCTTGGAATCTGAGCATATGGCACTTAACACTCTTTCATGAGTCATTGTCTTAGAATAACTTTCTTCTTAATGCTACAATACTTTCTTACAGGGATTTTTATTAGCAAACAGTTTTACATCAATTGATGTTTCCAAAAGTTTTTCATTATTACATAAAAATTACATATTAGTTCTCTTTAAACAAAATCAAAATATATAAGTAATGTCACTTCATCATGAACTAAACGGTTGTAATATACATTTGGTTACTCTATAGATTTTCCTTTTTTTGATATCAGGGAGTCACGCATAGGATTGTTATTCTGTTGTTATAAATGCCCCATTATTTTCAGCAAGACTAGTAAACTCTCTGGGATTGAGACTTATCTCTCTAATGGGTCCAGAAGTCTCTCTAATGACTTATTTTCTGGTTCACTCATAAAATAAGTCATTGCATCATTTTCTAAGTAGCACCATTAAGGAGGGGCTACCTATCCTGCTTGTTTGTCAAGAAGTCTCCTTGCCCTGGCTGGTGTGGCTCAGTGGATTGAGCGCTGGCCTGTGAAACAAAGGGTCACTGGTTTGACTCTCGGTGTAGGGCACATGCCAGGGTTGTGGGCCAGGTTCCCAGTGGGGCGGGGGCATGTGAGAGGCAACCACACATTGATGTTTCTCCCTCCCTTCCCCTCTCTCTAAAAATAAATAAAATCTTTTAAAAATTAAAAAGATGTCTCCTATGTAAGGCAGTTGTCTTGATAACTATTCTAACACTTTTCTATTTCCTTCAGTACGTTAAAGATTTTGACTATCTACCAGGTGTAAGATAACTTCCTTGGTATGAAAAGAAGTGTGTACTGTGCTTAGTGTTTTAATACCCACGTAAGGAGAGAACAGTCAAGGTCTTAAACTTATGCAAGATTGGGAAGTTCAAGTACATACTTACAAACCACTGGGACTCTTGAAGGAATACTATTCATAATAGAATGCTAGAAATATGCGCCAAGACAGGGTCAAAAATACTTCAAGAGAACTAGCCATCTGCACAGAACTTTAATTTGGGGAAGAGAATATTTTCTGTAAGAAATTAAATCCTAGTTTGACCTTCACACAGCTATATAATCTAAACTAATATTATCAAAGGGTTGTACAAATCCCAAGCTGATAAATTAAAGGAAAATATATTTGGGGAACATGAAATATTGGTGGCTCCAGCCAAAGAAAATGCAAAGTCACTTTTTATGTGCTCCATTTCAAGCATGGCCAAGGAAGCTCCTGCCAGATCAATTTTCTCCCAAATAACAGCTATAAACTCGGGCAAAAATTTTTAAACTGCCTGAAAGTAGCACAGAGTGAACAAAAATAGGAAGATTATAGCAGAGAATCTATTTGGAAGAAAGAATGGCATAGGGTAATTTTTCTTTTTCTTTTTTTTTTATAATGACAAGCCTGACAACAGGCTGGGTAAAACACTGGTGGAAAATCCAGACTTTTTCTGACCTAAGGAACAGGAAGACACAGTTTGTTATAATCACTGCCACCAGAAAGTTAGGGAGATATTGCAAAAGAAATAGAGCCAGTAAAGTAGAGCCTCAAATCCTAGGTTAAAAAAAAACATTGTCCAGCTTCCTGGCTGATTTTGAACCATGCGTGCACAGAGCAAACTCAAGTTCAATTCATTTTAAAATGAATTTTGCATTGCAGCCAAAAGATCAGCACTGTATTTAGCAATGTTACAGAGTTCAGAGTCTCTGAACCTTCAGAATATTTAGGGAACAATACAAATTCAGACAACAGGTTTGAAAAAGAGGACAATTTAACCGATTCTCACAAGAATGGACAATCAGTGGAAACCAATCTCACAATGAACATATATTGAAATAAGCAGGCAGGATTTTATTTGAACTATTCTCAGTAATATAAAGGAAAATATTCTCTCATTAAATAAAATGTAAGAAGTTTCATAAGAAAAAGAGAAACTATGGAAAGGTCTCAAATGGAAAATCAAGAATGAAAACATGCAGTGTACTGAAATAAATGTGTACTGATTGGGCTTCATGGCAAAATGCATCTGACAAAGAAAGTAGTCAGTAAACTTGAAGACAGAGCAATAGAACTTTTTCAATCCGAAGAACAAATCAGAGTTTGCAAACCAAAATGAACAAAGCTTCATGGACTTGTGAAACAATATGTAAAATTCAAACACACATGTAATAGTGGTACCACAAGCAAAGGATAGAGAAAATGAGACAAAAAATTCTGAAAAAAGAATGCCTGAAAAATTCTCAAGCTGGTTAAAGATATAATTTATAGAATCAAGAGACTCAGTGAATCTTGAGAGTGGATATGCATGAAATGGGTAAGCTCATTATACTCAAAATACTAAAAACCAAGAAAAAATATATTTTTAAAAGCCAGAGGAATATGACACATTACCCACATGCAAAGAAAGAAAAAATCATTCAAATATCATATGATTTCTTGTCAGAAATTCTGGTGACTAGAAGACAATGTAACAACATAAAATGCTGAAGGGAAAATAACACTGTCAAATCACTGTTCTACATCCAACAAACATATCCATCGAAAATGAAAGTAAAGAAGAAAAATTTCAGGTAAAAGAAAAGAAAGACCACACTGACTTGCACTTGAGAATTCTTACAGTAAATTCTTCAGACTGAAGAGAAATAATATGACAGTAAGAAATTCAAATCTTCAAGAAGAAACTAAGCACAATGAGGAAGATGACATACATGATTGTTTATACAATGTATCCTAGGAAATTTACAAAACAACTACAGAAATTTAGAATTTAATTTTAAAAGATTGCACATCAACTGTGTCATTGTATACAATCAACAAATAATGGGAAATAAAATAAAGCATCAAACATATATAATAATAAAAGATCACATTGTGTGAACATTCTACAGCACAAGGTACAATGAACAATAAATGCAACTAAAGATGAACTTTAGAAAATGACAGCATAGAAAAGCAAAGAAGAAGAAATAGAAAAACAGACAAGCACAGAGGTTTCTGATAAAAATGAGGAAAATGTTGGTGGACACTGGACAAAATGTTACCTTGTTATAGAGTGGCAGAAAACTTGGTGGGGGTATATAAATACAGAGTGTTCTACCACTGGGTAGAAAGTAGAGCTTGTAATCAATGAACTTTTGTATTTATCTGAGATTTTCAAGCAAATATGGAAGATGTGACCTCTTTGCTCCTTGCTGTTTGCTAAATAAATTGTCTGATGAGCTATGAGGCAAAAGGAACCAGCTCTTGATGATTTGGAAAATTCTCATTCTTTCCAGATATCATTCTCTGGGAACAGGGCAAAGGGTGTGACTGGAAAACCATTTGCTAAAGAGTCAAGATGTGTGACTCATGGGTCCAACCAACCATCTCAGCAGAAGTCAGGAGTAGAGATAGGGTAATCCAGGAAGGATCTTGTATAAAAAGCTGTGTTTCAAGGTGTGAACCCCTTTGACATCCATGGGAGACTCACAAAGTTTTTGAGAACTTGATGCCACCAGAAACACTTCCAGCTTGTACTGAAAGGGACAGAGATGGGATGAAATAGAGGAAGAGTTACTCCAAGGACAGAGCTGTGGACCCAAAATCCACAGAAGGCAGAGCTGCCATCTTGATGGGCCCAGAGGATTATTCTCAGCTTTATAACCTAACAGAACTCACCCCAATAGGTTGAGGAACTTGCTCTAGACCAAGTAGCCCCTTTATTCCTTCCATTGTATCCCTTTTGAAAGAGAAATGTCTGTCCTATGCCTGCCCCACTGTTGTATTTTGGAAGCAGATTATTTAGTTTCTAGTTTCACAACTTTTTGGATGGAAAGAAATTTTGGCCCAGAATGGATCATATCAAAAGTCTCACCCATACCTAATTCAGGTAATTAGATAACAAAATTTGGGACTTTTTGAGTGAATCATTTTAAATGAGGTTTGGGGTTTAGAATAAATGCTGGAATAGTTTAAGATTTTGAAGGGATGGAGTGAATAATACTTTGCATATAGGAGTGAATTTTGGAGCATAAGAAGGTAGACTTTACTGGGTTGAATTGTGCCCACCTCAAAAAAATTCATGTCCACCTGAACCTGTGAATGTAACCTTATTTGGAAACAAGGTCTTTGCAGGTGTAATCAAGTTAAGGTGAGGTCCTACTGAATTACAGCAGTCCCTAATCCAATGTGTGGGATCCTTGTAGGAAGAAGGAAAATTTCACACAGATATGCAGAGGAACATGGCCATGTGAAGACAGAAGCACAGATTGGAGTTATGCTACCACAAGCTGGAGAACACCAGCGATGGCTAACAACCACCCGAAGCAAAGGAGGCAAGGAAGGACTCTTGGAGGGAGAATGGATAACACCCTGATTTCAGACTTCTGGCCTCCTGAACTGTGGGAGGATACATTTTTGTTTTAATCTATCTACTTTATGAGACTTTGGTACAGGCACCTCAGGAAGTAAATACACCATGGGACAAATTAAATGAATGCCTTCCTCTAATAGGAGACAAAGAGTCATTAATAAAATAGCTAGTACAGGAAGAAACAAAATTATTATTGCTGATTCGTAGGATCATCCCCATAGAATGTTTAAGAGAATAAGTAAGCAATTACAACAAAAAGAAATATTCAAAAAGTTGTATGCTAAAATATCAATACACAAATATTACTACACACCAGTAAAAATACATAATAATAAATAATTACTCAAATAAATAATATTTCAATAGCTACCCCAAACTTTAAGGTGCCTATAAATAAGTTTTTTAAATAATATGCCTAAGACCTTTGTCTTAGTTCAAACTGCTACAACAAAATTGTAGAGTGGGAGCTTAAACAACAAATATTTACTTGTAATAGTTCTGGAGGCCAGGAAGTTCATGGCAAACTGCCATGTAAATAGTTCTTGATGAGAGTCCTCTTCCTGGTTTGCAGAGTGGTGCCTTTTTGCTATGTTCTCACGTGTGTGGACATCTGCCCCCTTCTTCCCCTCATAAGGGTACCAAACCCACCATGGCAACTCCACCTCCAACTTCCCCCAAAACCAAGTATCTCCAAAAGATCCCATCTCCATGAATTTGTGGGGCACACAAACATTAAGTCTATAGCAACATTTATGAAATGAAAATTAAATCAGAATAGATGTTTTTCTTTCTTTTTATAAGTATTTTTTTGCCTACAAAGCCTAACAGTTAATGCTTAGTTAAAATTGGGCAGCTGCTTTGAGAGTGTAAAATTACAGATTCTTGGGAAGTCCCTCTGAAATGATTACCTCCCCAAAGCTTTGACACAAATGTGACCATTAGAATTTTATTCCTTGGATAAAATTGCCCCAAAGAAGACTGCATTGCTGACAGTCATTTACCTCAATGTAAATTATTTTGCCTTTTTTTTTCCAGATAAAACAACCAGCTGAGAAAGGAAGAGAGGCTGAAGAGTGCAAGAGTTTAGGTTGGACAACCAGAAATTTGGGTCATAGTAAACAAGGCACATGACTCGGCAAAGTTAATTACTACTCACTCTCAGCCTTGTGTCCTCATCTGTAAATTGAGGATAATAAAAATACTATCTCCCACACTGTACTGTATGAAAGAGTAAATTAGTTAATACACCCAGAGCACTTCTGACAACTGTCAGAAATATGCACTCATTAAATTCTTCTCCTCCTCCCTCTCCTCCTTCCCAGCTCTTTTTATTCCCAGGACCACCCCATCACTGCCTCTGCTGCTACTTCACGAGCTATTGCTAATTTTGTCTTCAGGGCATGCCTACACAAAAATACAAATACAGTGTATTTGTACGCTGTATCTGTATGCTATCTGTATCTGTATCAGATACAGTGCTTTCAATGCACCTTCAGCAAAGTGCCTTACCTTTGAAAAAGAAGAAATAGATTCAGCTACATTGGTTCTCCTGAATATTTTTATGAAGACATGAAGCCATTGTAAAATATTATGTTAATTTTCAGCTAGTTTATTAAACTTCTTCTCCCCTAAAATATCTGGACTAAAAAATGTAAGAATTTCATTTCAAGTTTGATTTCTAAAAAGACAGGTAAATATATGATATGTTGTTAACTATTTATAGACTGTTTTGCTTTATATAAATTTCCTAGAGAAATCTAATTCTCTCTCTTCTTTGGGTTTCACTGAAAGGCTCACAGGTCACTTGAATTAATTTCACCAAATATTAGGATATGTGTAGTGACCTCACCAGAGTTACCAGAGAGATAATTAAGTCCGCCTCTGGTGACTTGCATTTTGCCCTTCAGTTATTCATTCAAGGGGGTCATGCAAATGTTTGGATTTCCAAGGGGAAATATTCTCAGAGGAAGAGAGTTTCTGAGTTGGTGTCTCAGGACCCGCCGTAATTTACCTGTTCTGATGAATTCTTTATTTATGGACTCAATAGCAAGACAATTAAAGAGTGTCCTAATTAAGCTTGCAATTTGAATTTTATATTTGTTAATTCATTCAGACCCTTGCACATCATTTTTATTAAAGATGTTTTAAATAAATCTATTTATTTAGTATTTGTTGACTGTATGCTATGCTCTTTGTGACAGAAAGATCCCAATTGAATTCAACATTGACCCTTCTCTTATGAAAAAGTATAAAAATATGCATGTAAGAATAACAATGCGATAAGATAGAAAATAGTGAACAGCATTGCACAGGGACATAATATTATGGAAATTTGGCACAAGCACAGAGGTGTAGATATGTGTTATGTTTGCATTGTTTATGTCCAGAACAAGTATGAATAGAAACGAAAAACCACTGTAAATATAAGACTAATTCAGGACAAAAATATTTCTTACCTATTTGTTTAAATGATGGATTAATTATTGGAAATTACACTGATGTTAAATTGATTCCATCTCATTTTTTTAGATCTGACAAGATGATTCCAAGAATATCCATAAGATCAGCAAATTTCCTACTGCTCTAATTTAACCTAGGGAAATAATATTCCCTAAACCACCTTGTCTAGGTGTGAGGGAAGAAAAATAAAGTCTAAAATGAAATATATTTTCCTCTTCTAAATCTCTATCCACTGCATACACATTGCCTTCCGATAACATGTACTACACACAATTGAAAACCTATAGTCATATGCACCCACAGATGCTACCTGAACAACAACAAAAAAGCAACAAATGATTGCAGCTGAGCTGAGATTTCCCCTAGTGCCAGACTGGGCTGACCATCATTGTGTTTCCCTGTCTAACACAGGCTAGCTCATAAGGAAATAGGTGCTGTGAATCAGGCTTCTTCAATGTCAGAAAGTATTTAGGGGATAATCTCATTATTTTATTCATCTAGATCATGACTATTATAAAGATTCCAGAAAGCTATTAAAATTTTTATTGTAGGAAGGAGGTAAGAACAATTGAGGAATGATAAAGTAGCTTTAGACTGATTCATGAAAGATAATTTCTGTGTATAAAGCATTTTTATTTGTTTTATATTCACTGAAACAATGGTGAGTGAAATGGAGTTTCAGTGTGAGTAGTCAAGCTGTATTGTAAACTATAAAAAATTGCACTTCAACAGCCAAACACTTATCTATCTGTAACCTATGGGAATAAGTAAAATATTTGTGAAGCCAACGACAAACACACAAATAACAATTTTCATTGAAACTGCTTTTCTCTGATAACCACAAAAACACAGAAATAATAACATGAATAATGAAAAACTTCATAAGTCCCCAAAAGATAAGGTACTGATTCATTCAACCAGGGCTTGCTTTGATAGCTGTAGGAATAAATCAAAAGCATCTACTCTAAAGTATCATTAAACTTTAATCGGACCACAGTCAAAATGCATGAGGATTAAAACTCATTTTACCTGAATAATGTATGCTAAAATGCATATCGCCTGTGTTAAGGTAGTAATCATCACTTGGCTAATGTGCTTCAATGGACTGATGGGCACTAGTCCATTCTGAACTCAAGCACTAATATCTTGACAACAGAAGGGGAATGTTTTTTATCACTTTGGAAATGCAGCACAAGCATCTAAATGTGGGTCATCTTAGCTTCTGTTTGAGCAAGGTATTAAAATTGCACCACTCCCCATTTAATATATTCATTGTGTTACTGTTCAAGTGAGCTAGATGAGTCTGGAGCAACATTTCTTAGTGTTTTCTTTTTTTGAATGCTCTTTATCATTATCTTCTTAGATCTTTTTTTACTAGGGAGCATTCCTGTCTCCAATCACTAGTGCCCTTATACTTGTCTTCCTTTGGTTAAAGTTTTAACAGCCTTCTAATTCACACTAAAGTATTAAAGGCTAATTATATCAATGTGCCATTCCTTCCTGATGCATAATTGAGGTAGAGGAGTGAATTTTCAGTGGCAACTAAAGGAAGTGGTCAAAGTGAAGCGTGATGGAGCTTTCTAGTGTGCCAAGCCAAGCCACTCCCCACCTTTGCCTGATTATTCTACCTACAGTAATAGCGTCCAGCCTTATACTCCCCTCCAAAGTAGATTTACTACTCAGCTCCCTTTCTGAAAATAAAAACACATAAATATAAGAAGCATTTTGAAACCTTTAATCTTTCCTATGTCTCGTGTGGATTTTGCCTTAGCAGGGAAACTAGCTATGGTATTCTTATATTTTAATTTCTTACTATTATTGCCCTTGAGAGCAATTTGAGTAATCCTTTTGCCTTCTGTAAACTGAGGAGACACTTGATGTGATACTTTGAAAAGAGGTGGAAACATCAGTGTGGATAAGATATGTGGTTGTTGATAGACAGTATAATTAAGTAACACCCAGTATTTATCTCAGGTTTTCAATGAGAAAATAACTCTTTGGTTCATAAGAGAAATTACTACTATAGGACTGAGGGATAAATTATGTTCAGGATGAGGCTCCCCTCATGAGAAATTACTGTAAGTGATAGTCTTCTGGAAACCCCCAAGTGTCCATCACTAAAAGTGTACTACTTGGAACTCAGCATAGTACTGTGGGAAATCTGTTGTAGTGGTCATATCCATGGATGTGTAACAACTGATCTTTGACCAGTAATACATGAATGAGTTATTGGACTGCCCTGAACCTTAACAGATAGCTAAAAGAAGGGCTCTGCAAGACTTAAAGGAGGGTGGGTCAATAATGAGCAGGAAAAAAGAAAGAAAACAAAAATCTAAAATCACAATGGAGCTACATGAGAGAAGTACTTACTTACTTGGAGGAGGGGGTGTCTCAAGAAGAGGAAAGAAGACAGACTTCATGACGTTTTTGTCTGTAGGGCTTCTGCCTGGATGTTACAATAAAGAGGAAAATTAGGACAGTGTACCACCCACATTCAGACAATGGTTTGCTTTATAGAAGGGATTGCATCTTACCCATCTTTCAACATCAGCACTTACCATGTGCATGACTCATGTCAAAGACACAATAAGTATTTGTTGAGTGACTGAATGAATACATGAACACAATATCATAATTTTAATTTTAGGATTTCCTGACATTCCATAAAGGCATTTTATGTTCTTTTCATGTAAGCAGTAGCATCTCTAGATGTGCTAGATTTTTGGTTACAGTTTGACACACAAAAAAAAATGTTTTAAAAGATAAACAGGAGTTGGAACTCAAAGCCAGTTGTAACTATTTATAGTGTGCTCAGAAATATTTCACAGAAATTCCTCTCAAGTGATTTTTCATCAGAAGATTAATGTCTGATGGTCAAAACAGCTAGAGGGAAGGACCAAAAAATTTTTAAAAACAGGCAGAGAGACTTAGAAACTCTGAGAGAAACCAAAGCAGTCCTGAAGAACAGAGGAAGATTTTAAAACAACAGTTTTTTTTAAGATTTTATTTATTTATCTTTACAGGGGAAGGGAAGAAGAGAGGGAGAGAAGCATCAATGTATGGTTGCCTTTCCTGCATCCCCTGCTGGGAACTGGCCTGAAGGGAACCAGCCTGCAACCCTGGTATGTGCCCTGACTAGGAATCGAAAAAACAACAGTTTTTTTTATATAAATAGTACATCAGTCAATTTGGAAATGATCTCCATGCATTGAGCAACAACAAAAACAACAACACCCCCTGGTTTATGGAGCATGACTTAATGTTCTTTCAGATACATTGTTGAATTCCAAGTAGCATCACTGAGAACAGCATACACACAGAATAACACAGGGTATGTACTCAAAGGGTTAGATTTGCTGTCCTTACCATAGATTTCAACTAAGTATCTCACTATGAGAAAGGCAAAAGGCAATAGCTTTCTGATCTGGAGCATTTAAATACCCAGCCCACAATGGATGTGCTGTGTGATTCCTACTTGCCTGTAGTTGATTCATTCAGCAATACTTTTGAGAGCCCAGTGTGTGCAAGGTGCTGCAGAAAGAGCAGTGGGAAAACAGCAGAGTTTTTAACCTCAAAGCTTTCACACATGTGTGAGGGGGAGGGTGTGCAGGAGGAATAAACATATATGTTAGATATACGGTACCAGCTCTGTCCAGAAGGCATCTGGCCATGTACTATAAAAAATGGAGACATTTACTGAAGAACATACAAGATACAAGAAGCATTGTACATAGACAGTGATGCCTCAGTTTATTGCCTTCAAAGTAGGC